CGGGCTTCAGTTTCCTCTTCTGTAAAACAAGGGGATTGGACCTCAAGGTCACATCAAGGTCTAGATCAATGATCTTATTACTAATAATAATTGCTCACATTAACATAATACTTAGTTCATTTGATCCTCATAACAACCATCAGCAGGAGGCACAGAAGAGAGACTTAAGTCTGAAAGAGGTTAAATAACAGAGGAATTGTCTGAGGTGGGACGTGAATTCAGATCTTCCTGAGTTCTAATCCATTGTTCTGTCCATCATGCCAAGGCAGGAAAAGGCAGAGGGGCCAGAGTGACAGTGCCCACTTTGAGCCCACAACCTCACTAGTTTTAAGTGCTGGCCTTAGCACTGGTAGAAGCAATCAGATCACTGAGATGGGCACAAAAAATAAACCCTCTAATGAGCCCTGGACACTGCTGAGTCAAAGACATGAACTGCCCTGGAGAACTATTGCTATGAACGAAAGGCACCATTACTCCTAAACCATGCCTTGTGCTTGGTCCAAACTTATGACAAGTTCTATTCTATGGACCCTACCCTTCAATGCACACCAGTGTGAGGCTACTCTTAGACAGTTTCTGCCTAAAGAACATGTCTACCAAATGCTTTCAAAATGATGGGGCATCTAGAGAGTTGTTACCAGGCAAGAGTTGGAAAGCCTCCTCCTGTCTAATGAGGTTAAAGAATCATTACTCGACCTTTGAGGTCACTTTTTGCTATCCTGAACAGAAGAAAGTGAGCAAATTGCTTCCTTAATAGTTTTCTTAAGTGCAAGTGTTTGGGGTGCTGATTAGGAATTTTATAGGGACTTTGAAGGGAGCACTCTGTAACTGACTTTCAGCTGCCTACAGAAGCTAGCCTTGCAGTAGAATGATGCCATATTCCATATTTGCAGTAGCAGGATTTTTTTCTACTTTTTCCATTAACGAAGGGCATTATGGTATCATTCAGGGGCTCTTAACTTTTTTTTTTATACCGGACTCCTCTGGAAGCATGATCCAACCTCTAGATCCCATCATGGAATCATATTTTTAAATGCAAGAAACAAAATGCATAGAATTACAGAAAACCAATTCTATTGAAATTCAATTATCAGAATTTTTTTTTAGCAAAACAAATTCATAGACCCCAAGTATAGTGAATAGAAGGCCAGATATGGATTCAGGAAGAACGGGGTTTAAGTCCTGTCCCTGACACTTGTGTGACTTACTTCTCAATGTACCTGGCAATATAAGATACTAAAATACAAGGACAATCAACTTGTTTATTTCTTGGATAAGAAAAATAGCTTTACAGCAAAAAAGAAAAGAAGGACAGAGAAACAGATGGACCACCCCCTTCCATGACAAAAAAAGGAAACAAACCTATTTCTTCCTCCTATTTTCTGAGGATACCTACAATGATGAGGTCACAAGTTCCACCCACTTCCCAATTGTTACTTCCTGTTTTCAGACGATACACACACTATATGCCTTCCCTAGGCCTCTGATGCTTGCTTAGGCTCGAGTTTTCAATCATAAGTATATTTTCAGGCACATGCCCAGATTTGCATATTAGCTGTTGTGCAAAGAACCAAAAGCAAAGGAGATATTCAAAACTGCAATTAAATCCACTGCAATGATATTAACCTTCTGGTCAATTAACCAACCACAGGATTGCAAAGTGCTATGCTAAGAACATTTAATCATCATTTGCTCACTCCTTCCCTCCCCCCCAAAAAAGATACAGCAAATGAAATAACCAATCTTTCATCTTCTGTGATAGCACCCATTATTTCAACCTGTTAGATGCTGCTCAGTCTTTCAGATGCATTCTCCTTGTGACTGTTTCCAACAGAAGGCTGACACAGCTTTTTTTTTTCTTTTTAATCTTCCGGACATTGCACTGGGCAGCTTGCAGGACTACAGCTGGCCAATTACTCTGTTAAACTTCCTAGTGGAATTCCCAGCGACAGCAGCGCCATCTACTGGTGGGGAAGGCAGACCCTAACACCTACAGGCTTCTCAGAAACTGGGGAACCAAGGACTTAGGGAAGGGCTGCGGCTTAGGTTGCTGGCTTTGTTTCCTCTCCAGCACATTGCTAGCATAGCTAAGGCTTAAAACCTTTCTAAGCAATACAAGTTACCTTCCCGGGGGCCTCCTGTGTAATGAATGGCTAGTCTCCCAGAGTCATTAGCATCTAAGCATTGAAAGGAACCCTACTGGCCATTTGAACCAACCCTCCCTGCCTCATGTATGAAGTCCTTCATACAGCCAGAAACTAAATTAAACACAGGCTAAGCCATAACTAAGGCAGCTTTTCCTGTAGAGAGCCTTCTTCCAAGCCCCAGCCGAGGAGAAAGTAATAGATTTACCATCTCCTTGACTTTCCTATAGCATTTTCCTCCATTGACTTCCTCCACCGTATTCCCCTTCTACCTGTAGCATCTAAAAAAGAGACTCAGAACCATTCTCAACTTGGTGCCCCTGAGCTTCTTTATGTAAGTGGCCACATAACCTCTCCCAAAGGGGAAATGATTCAGTAGGAAGGGCAGATTCTCATCTCTGGCATTCCATCTCTCCTTTCCTGCCCCCAACCTATGGGGGAGAAATCCAGAAAGAAAAGCCTTTCCATTATTGCTACTTTCAAAGCAACACTGGAGAGCAAGCCTTTGGTGGACCAGAGACCAGAACCTTGTTCAGTAGGTCAAAGAACCACATAGCTGAGTGCATAGGTTAATAATGCAGGGCTGCCAATCCTTTGGCTAGTGTGCACTACTGAATCCCTCCTTTTCAAAATGAAGAGGTCAGTCTAGAAAGCGATATTCTTTAAGATCCTTTCTTTCTCTACCATTCAGTGATTCTGAATCAGTTAAGTTTTAAAGAGAATTTGTCCTGTCTTACTATACCTGGGGCAATAAACTGTATTTTGCTTTATTAGTAATCAATTATATTTTCACATCCATTTTTTTCCAGGTAAGCTTCATGGCAACTAATCAGTTCTTTTCAATTCCCCTTTTGTCCTTCTACAGAAACCAAGTCAAAAGTTGTTGCCTGCTCCCGACAATGGTGCCATCAAACCCAAAGCCATAAGGTCTGATCTCCTTACCAACATCAAGAGTGCTACTTTCCCCTAATTTTTCCCTAATCCTGGATATCGTGGAAACTGTAGGCATTTGGAGACTGGGAGTGTATCCTGGGTCTAATGGAAATCAAACTATTTCCTGGATTTAAAAAAAGATTACAGGAAAGAGCAAAGAAGAGACAGAAAAATGAGAAGGAGGGGATTGAAACAAGCAAAGAACTGGCATCAGACTGTCTCAATGTCATGAAGAAAGGGTGCTCATTGCCCTCTCTCCCATACTATATTATGTTCCAATTGTATTATTCTCAAAGTCTAGGAGTGGAGTAAAATCCTTATAAAATCAGTAAGCAGAACTGCTTCTTATCCAGCAAGTTATCAGATGAGCTCAATGCTACCAGTTAACCAAGTGAATCCCCAAAGAACTTTTATATATTTATATCGGAAAGCCAGTACGGAATGTCCCTTCTATTGTGAGATTAGGGGAATGGGAGAATAGAAGCAAGAAGGTGTCACTGGTACAATTCTCAACCTGTTTTTTCTACTTAATTTTAGTATCAACTGATACAAGCCATTCCCTCAGCTCTTTCTAGGGACCTCTGCTGAGTGACCTCTTGTGGAAGCCAAACAGTCTTTTCCAAACATACTATTCAGAGGATTAAGGAGGTCTGAGTCTGCCTAATTCAGATGCTGGCTTACCCCCACCCCACCCCAACAGCCTGACTGTCAGTGTATATGGTGCCAGGAAAAAAAAACCCTCAGCTAACGGGCTCTCCCCCAAAATCTCTCAAAAAAAAAGAATCCCTGAATAGTGGAATATTCTGCAGTTCACTGCAGGCATTTTTCTTCCCACAATTTACTGGTGACTGTTTCTGCCATATTTATCTTTTTTTTTTTTAAAGCCTCAGCCTTTCCTTCAGCTCAGCCGCACCAATATTCAATTATTTGTTGTGGCTTAAAAAAAAAATGAGTGTCCTGCTTCCCCTCTTCCAGCACCAAGATTCAATGTAGGTAAAAGTATGAGAAGCAGCTGTCTTATGTACTGTATATATACTCTCTGCATGTACCCAATTATTTCCATGTTAACTCGCCCATTAGAATGTGAGTTCCTTGAAGGCAGGGACCGTGTTTTTGCTTTTCTTTGTATTCCCAGGGCTTAAGCCCTGTGCGGCACAGAGTAAGCGTTTAAGGAATGCTTGTTGACTGACTGAGGGCACTCCATCAGGCTTGGTTTATCGCTGCTGGGCTTTCAGACCTACGGTAAGCAAACGGTCATATTTTTTCCTTCCCTCTCCGCACAGTTACACTTCAGATTCAGCATTACTCGCATTCTCTCCATTTGCCATGGTCCTGGATCCCATGCCTCCACCAGCCTGTATGTCTCCCCGGAGCACCAGCAGCCCCCATACACTTTGCAGCGAACCAACCAAAAAGTGACATTCCATCCCTCCATGCCCAGCCGTGCTCCTCGCATTAAGAATCGCCTCTCGATCTGCCGCCACAGGCAGGGGAAGGTTTTTTTTTTTTTCTGGGCACAATCCCCTGTCCATCTTTATCAATTAAGCCACCCAGGAAGATGCAAACACGACAGGGCTGTTATTTTAACTCCACTGCAAGCTTGTTGGGAATGTTAAAGCCCCCACCCCCGGTTATCAACAAAGACAAGCTGAGCTGGGCGGTGGAGTTGGCTTTGCACCTGAAGCCACATTCGACTGGGGAGGTGGAGGGGGGGTTACGAATAAAACGGGGAGCCAATGCCTTGAATTCCACAGTCCGGCCTGATTGCATTTTTGCATTTCATCCAATGCAAAAACTGCACTCTTTCGAGTGAGAGGCGAACAATGCTCGCCCCCCTCCCCCCGCGCTTTTTTCCTCCATTCATTCATTCATTCATTCCCGGAGGCTAATTTATGAGAATAAAGAGCCGTGGTTCTCGCTTACCTCGGTAGAAGTGCAAACGCTCTCGCAGACAGCGGCGACGCGGAGAAAGCAGGAACCAGCGCTCAGCGCGCAGACAGACGTGGGCGCTCGCGCTCCCTCACACACAGACCAACATTCCCAGACGCGCGCGCGCACACACCAGCTACCGGGCCCTCGGAGCCCGTCTGCAGCCCGGGAGGCCGATAGCACGTGTGGCCTCGCTAGCCGCGGTCACGTGAAGGCGCCGGCCAATCGCCGAGCCCGCCTCCCCCCTTCCAACTCCCCTTTCTCCCCACTCCCCACTCCCCCCTCAACTCCTCCCGTGCGTTCCTTGCAGGGCTGCCTCTCGCCTCCTGGAGGGATCGTGGGCATCTCTGGGGACATTCTCCTCGGCTCCTAGCTGGCTGGAGGCAGACACAATGGGGAGCCGCGCCATCCCCTGAGACTGGACCCTCGGCTCTCGACCACTGCCACTGAGCGGTGGCCGGAGGCTGCCTGCCAGGGCTCTCGGCTGCAGCCACGAACAAAGGGAGTCCCGGTGCAGAGCGCCGCGCAGGAGCCTTCCCGAGCACGTACGGCCCCTGCATGTCAATGAGGCCAGGCTGGTGCAAGGGATAACCTGGGTTATCAACTGGATTAAAGGCAGCGTTTGCAAAGGCTCTGTTGGATTAGCGTTCGTTGCACGGAAAGCAGTCCGCCCTTCAACACCTTTCCAGCAAGGGTAGCCTTGACATCAGCCACCTTCGGGTCTCAAAGGCAGCAGTAAGCGTTCAGACTTCAAAACTCACCTTTGACAGTACACATTATCTATGCCCTTGGACAAGTCTCTGCATCTGTAAAAAGGGGCGGGGGGGTGAATTAGATGGCCTCTGAGAACCCTACCAGCCCTAGATCCAGGAACCTCGTAAAGAAAAGATACAGATCTGTAGAACCGGGGGACTGAATTAGAAAGCCCAAAGGTCACTCCCAGTCAGTCAACCGATAAACGTTTTTAATTGATTACTCTGTGCCAGGCACTGTGCTAACCACTGGGGGATACAAAGAAAGGTAAAAGACAAGTCGCTGCTCTCACGGAGTTCGAAGTCTAAAGGGGGAGATAACACGCAAGCAACTATATACAAATAAGCTATCTAGAGAATGAATTGGAAATACTCAACAGAGATTAGAATTAAGAGAGATTGGAAAAAGCCTTCCCCCCTAAAAACTGTGATTTTAGCTGGGACTTGAAGGAAGCCAGGGCTCTAAATCTATAATTCTGCCAATTTGATTGCCACCATTGCCACGCCTCAGAGTGCCTACACAGTGGGGGTGGGCGCTGAGAAGTATTTCAGGAACTTTCCAGAGGGCCTAAAATTAAAAAAATAATAACAATAAAAATTTTAAAGGCCTAGTTCATCTCATATAGATCTCATATGGATCTAGATCTCATAGATCTAGAACTAGAAGGTTCTCCCAAGACCATCTAGTCCAGTCATCTGGTTTTACAGATAAAGAAAGTGAGCTCCAGGAAAACTAAGTGACTTGCCCATGGTTAGCAGCAAAGGTAGCAGCAGAGGTGGGATTTGAATCCATGACCAATGACTAGACTCTAGTCACTAGAGTCTGTGTTCTATGCCCCTGCATCAGGATGCCTCCCAGCTGTTGCAAAGTAGTTTTCCAGGGAGGGGACAGCAGAGAACCTGTCAAAAGTTCAGACCATCTATCTTCATTGCCTGCTCTTTCACCATGTCTTTATTTGGAAGTTATCCAAAGTTACCTTTCGGAAAGATCCCCTTTCTTTTCTCTTGCTGATGGACAGCCAATTGAAATAGCTAATGAAGGCCTTGGAAGCCTGAGGAAGCCTGGGGAAGGGGTAGAGTTCTAATCAACAAACGTTGATTAAGCTTCTCCTTTGGGCAAGACACTCTACTAGGTGTGAGAGATATAAAAACCAATGGACTTCAAATGTGACCTTTCAATAAGTTTTCCTTGGGTGACTCATAAGATAATGGAACTAGAGTGAGGTGAGGAACTGAGAGGCCATCTAGGCCAATGCTTTCCCCCCACCCCATTTACAGGAAACTGAGGCTCCTGTGAGTTTAATGATTTGTGCAAGTCAAAGAGCTAGTATGTGGAAAAAGTAGGATTTGAGCCTAGGTCTTCTTGACCCCTATCATCCAGCACTATCCTATGTACCACACTGTCTCTTCAGGCTAGGAAGCAACAACTCACCCCAGCACTTCGGGGCTAGGAAGGAAACTGGAAGCAGCAGAAGCCTAGATGCTGTCTCTGAACCACGATGAAGCTGATAATGCCTCTACAAGCATTAAGCCTCCTTCTGCACATGACTGGTGCTAATCAACGGACCGTTCCCCCTCCTGCCCTCTCCTCAGCCTTCCTAAGTCTGGAGTGTAAGATCAATACCCCCAACACTGTCAAACTCAGAACCAGAGGGTCACAAATTTAGACCTAGAAGGAATCTCAAAGGCCATCTAGCCCAACTCCCCTTTTCCAAATGGCAAAGAGGTTAAATGATCTGCCCAAGGTCAAGGAGCAGAACAGGAATTTGTACAAGTGCAATGACTAAAAATCTGTCCCCCCTACTAAGAAAATGACATGAGATAACCACAAAATGGGGGGTGGGGAGGGGAGGTCCTTCAGTCCCTTGGCCAATCCACACAAACACTGAAAAATATGCCAATGAGCTACAGAGAATCGCCTTGTCTGGAGGATTTAAAATCAGCCAGCAATTGTTTCATTTCTGTGAATGCCATCCAGACTCAAGCAATCACTTGGAGTTCAGTGGTCATGAGCACACCTTCTTATACTGTACTCTAACTTGAATATTTTCTGGAGTGTTAAATTACCTTAACCTTGTTCTTCAGGGCAGTTTAGGCCTTGCATTTCTAGAGGTAAAGTGCTCAATTCCACCAATCTCCAGTCCCTCAGACCCTTCAAACCCAAGGGGTCCCATGTTCCAACACACTGTGTTTGAAGCAGTCATTTCATCAAGGTGATCCAAAGGGCACTTAGAGAAACCTTGGTCCTCCTCAGCCACTCCAGGCTCACTTTTTTAAATCTCCTGCTTATACAGTCCCAGCAATTATTTCCGCTTAGCTGGCAATGAAATTGATATTGTCAAGAATGCTAACAGCTTTCATTTAGCAAATGAAGTCAAGAGTTTAGTCGGATATCCCAAATCTAGCCCTGCATTGTTTTCTGACTATTGTTGGAGTAGGGGAGTGTCTAAGCAAGGGAGGATATGTTTCAAGCCTTAAGGAAGGTTTTTCTTGTTCATTATTTAGCTGTCAGATCAATGGACTTGATCAGGAAGCCTCTGGCAATGAGTCTGCTCTTACACAAAGAAAAAGAAAGTAATTTGCAATATTTAGCTGTGCCATCCAACCAAAACCATAGCCAGGGCCCTTCTGGATGACAGTGTAAATCACTAATTACAACTAATAAAGGCTTCTCTCTCAGAAGCTATTGTTATTAGTAAATTGGAAACCTTCAGGGGCTTGTCCTGAGCTTAAATTCCAGCCCTAAAAGAAAAAAAAATTCATGAAGAGCCCTCTCCCTGATTTTTCTTAATTTGTAAAATAAGTAACTCTCTGGTAAGAATTCCTAGTAATAGAGGTGGAGTCTGTGGTTTCATTTCTAATATTTCATTCCTGGGAGCTCCCAATACCCTCAGGTAAGGAAACTGAGGCAACTCCCCATACCAATGCAGGATAGCACCTTCTCTACTGCTTGTGGTCTTTGGAGATTTGCTTAGGGCACTGAGAAGTGAATTACCTCAGGTTACACAGTCAGTAAGTTTTGCAGGCAGAACTTGAAACTAGGATTTGGAGTCAAGAGGGTTCAGACTCCCAATCCTGATACTTTCCTAACCCTACGTCCCTAGACAGCTAATTCACTTAGCCTCTCAGAGCCTTAGTTTCTTCATCTGCAGAATGGGAGTAACAATACTTGTAATGCCCACCTCACGGATTTGTTCTGGGGAAGGCACACTAAACACCTTAATGTACTGTGTAGATCACAGACCCAGAGCTGCCAGGAGTCTTTGAGGCCATCTACTCCAATTCAACTCATTTTAAACATTGTAAACATGAACTATTGTTATGAACCATTGGAAACTTTCAGGGTTATGTCCCAAATTTAAATTCCAACCCTCTAAGGAAAAAAAAATGCAGAAAGGGCTCCTTTATTGTTTTATCTGAAAAATAAGCAAGTCTCTAATGAGGACTGTGTTTCCTTCCATCAAGTAGGCAAAGGCCTGCTTGGGTGGGACAGATCCCCAAGAAGAGGGAAAAAACATACTTATATCCTAAGGAGGGAAAAGTAGATGATGAGGGCAGGTTTTGTACAATAAACAAGAAACTAAACTTAGAGTCCAGTGACCTGGGTCTAAATGCTGCTTTTTGATACTTAGTTATAACACTATGGGACTCTGAGGGAAGGAGGAAGGGGGAGAGGAAAAGGAGAAGGGAAGGGGAAGGGAAGGGGGAAGGGAAGGGGGAAGGAAGGGGGAAGGAAGGGGGAAGGGAAGGGAAGCGAAGGGGAAGGGAAGGGGGAAGGGAAGGGGAAGGGAAGGGGAAGGGAAGGGGGAAGGGAAGGGGGAAGGGAAGGGGGAAGCGAAGGGAGAAGGAAGGGGAGAAGGGAAGGGGGAAGGGAAGGGGAAGGGAAGGGGGAAGGGAAGGGGGAAGGAAAGGGAAAGGAAGGGAAGGGAGAAGGGAAGGGGGAAGGGAAGGGGGAAGGGAAGGGGGAAGCGAAAGGAGAAGGGAAGGGGGAAGGGAAGGGAGAAGGGAAGGGGAAGCGAAAGGAGAAGGGAAGGGGGAAGGGAAGGAAGGGAAGGGGAAGGGAAGGGGAAGGAAGGGAGAAGGGAAGGGGGAAGGGAAGGAGAAGGGAAGGGGAAGGGAAGGGAAGCGAAGGGAAGGGAGAAGGGAAGGGGGAAGCGAAAGGAGAAGGGAAGGGAGAAGGAAAGGGAAAGGAAGGGAGAAGGAAAGGGAAAGGAAGGGAAGGGAGAAGGGAAGGGGGAAGCGAAGGGAGAAGGGAAGGGGGAAGCGAAAGGAGAAGGGAAGGGAGAAGGAAAGGGAAAGGAAGGGAAGGGAGAAGGGAAGGGGAAGCGAAGGGAGAAGGGAAGGGGGAAGCGAAAGGAGAAGGGAAGGGGAAGCGAAAGGAGAAGGAAGGAGAAGGAAAGGGAAAGGAAGGAAGGAGAAGGGAAGGGAAGGGAAGGGAGAAG